TATTTATATAAATTATTATTATTATTATTATTATTTTATTATCTGTTTAATAAACCATAATAGTAAATTTGGGATTTCTCGAACCATTATTAACACTTTTTTTACATACAAATTTAATGCATTTATTATTTTTACATATAAAATGCATGATACTAGCAATGCTAAGATCGATTAAAAGGGAACACAGTAGCCAAATGTATAAGCTGAATATAATATTGCCTAAATAAAAGTATATGCCAAATGCATAATGCATGTACACTAGACTCAAAAATCTCAAAAAACCTTCAGTTTGAATAGACTTTACACCTCTAGACATTAACAGTCCATTTCCATGAGATGCATAATTTCACTATACTTTTAGCAAAGACAGATTTCAAAACATGCATACATGCATACAGCAGGCTGCAAATGAGAACGAGCTGTGGTGGGCTAATGAATGATAGGCACTTGAAACTGTGAAGAACGACGGTACAGATGTACAGCTGGCAGAGGCAAACACCGATGTGAGTGAACATTAAAGATTCATTCAAACAGCTGTTCCTTATCCAGGACAGCACGATCCACCACCATGTGCTCTGATTCTGAAACAGAAGAGTGCAGGAAGCAGGGGTGAAAATTTGACTAAAGCTCAGGGTATTACACAAGCAGCAGAGTCAGCCGAGAGATCTGTCTGCGCACTGTCTACAGTGATTGAAGGCTTTACCTCTTACTGAAAAACATGAAATCCATGGATTGAGAGTTGAAAACTATGACAGCTGCATTTCAAGATTTTGTGCTTGAATCTGACACACAGTAAAGTTCAGACTAAAAGTTAGAGTGAACTGAGGATGAACAGACAGACCATATTTGTGTCTGTTTGTATCTCTGTACAGTTTTTCCTCACCTTGCTTTATAGATTGATTATTTAGCCAGATATTTGCTTTGGAAAAAGTCCAGTAAAATGCAGCTCCTTAATTATCATTGTGTAATGCCAACAACTTCTAAGTGACTCTCGGGACTAATTCTCTGATGCCTTTTCTTCTAAATGCTCAAGAGTGTTATTAGTGTGTTTTTTTTAAGTGCTGTTCTTCAGTAATTTACCAGTCAGTATCAATTGCCTTGGGTACGTGGTCTTGGCTTCATTTAGGTGAGTAAAGGGTGTTTTGCGTGGTAAACTGTAAGCACAAGTTCTCAGTTCATTGTCAGTGGGAGAAAGCCAACAGAACAGAGGCGGCAATAAAAGCTCGCCAGCAAACATAGAGATGCAAGATATAAAAAGAGATGTTTTGAAGAATGCGTCAGTGTTTTTTTTTTTATCCATTTAATGTTGTTTTGGACCCCTTTGACTTTCAGTGAACAGACAAAAACAGTTGAACAATTCCTCAAAATATCGGTAACACTTTAGTATAGGGACCAGTTCTCACTATTAACTAATTGCTTATTAGCATGCTTATTATTAACATAGCACATATTCTGAATCTGCATGACCATATTCTACATCTCTATTCCTACCAAATACCTACATTTAACAACTACCTTACTAACTACTAATAAGCAGCAAATTAGGAGTTTATTGAGGCAGAAGTCATAGTTAATAATTTGTTAATAGCAAGAATTGGACCTTAAAATAAAAGTGTGACCAAAATATCTTCTTTTTTTCCCCCACAGAAGAAATTCATACAGGTTTGGAAGGATATGAGGACCAGTAAATATGACATAATTTTCTATTAATACCATGATTGGAAATATTGAATCTGTAGTGAATGCAAATTTTTTATATTCTTGCTGGAAATGTTTTTTATAAGCTTTTTTCAACTATGTATATATGTTATTTTCTTTAGAGTGGTTTCTTCATTTTCTTCAGTGTGATTGAAAGTACGTCAATGTGTGTTTTTTTTATAACAAATCAAACAGCTTTTATGTGGTTACTTCCTTTCAGAGTAGTCTAAGCTTGCTCTCTGTAGCGCTCTATGAGGCATTCACTACAATGAATGAGCAAGCAATTTGGAACTAAATGTTTCATTAATTTGGTTAATTTTATTAGCTATCATTTACTGTACATAGAACAGATATTTACATTAATCATCTCATCCAGAGCAGCATGTTTCCATTTCTTAGCAGTTTGCTAACGCATGTAGATGTAGTGGTAACACTTTAGTATAGGGACCAATTCTCACTATTAACTAGTTGCTTATTAGCATGCCTATTATTTACACATTATTAACACATATATTAGCACATATTCTGCATGACCATATTCTACTTCCCAAATTCTACACAATACCTAAACGTATCAACTACCTTACTATTAATAAGCAGCTAATTAGGAGCTTGTTGAGGCAAAAGTCGTAGTTAATGGTTTGTTTATAGCAAGAATTGGACATTACAATAAAATGTGACCAAAATAGTGTATTGAAAAAGCTTGTACACAAAAAAGGTGGCAAGATTGCAAACAGAGATCACTTGTCACAAACTGTGTAAAATTAATAATCTTATCTTATCCTCTTATCATCATGTCATTTAAAAGATTTGTTTGTTTGTTTGTCTGTTTTTCATTTAAACACAAAAGGAGACATTTAGCACAATACTCGAACTACTGGTTTGAATGAAATGAAAGCTCCCAAATTAAATCTTATTCATAGAGTGTTATTATTCACAGAAAATCTTGCCTTCTGCCCTTTTGAGCAAAACGAGGGTGAGTAGATGATGACATTTTCATTTTTGGGTGATCTATTCCTTTAATGGTCTTGCAGAGTAACATTTACCCTCACAAAATTACAAAATGACAAATTTAGCATTGAGCGTCATCTGAAACAATATGCTCCTTTTTGCCAGCATAAAACTGGCTCGCTGATGGCTTTTCTCAGACTTTACCGGATATAATAATTTCCAGGATGAAATATTTTGTCCTTTATCCCTAGACCTTGGTGAAAGGAAAAGGCTGTTATCTGTCAGCAACACAAAACACGTACCTCCCTTGCAGAATCTCAGCCACGCAAAATAATCAGCCAAACAGGAGAGCTACTCCCGCTGGAAATCACGGTAATAAGCCCACCGTCCCCTTTCGAAATAACAGCTGGTTATGTTTTTCTAATGGAGAAGCGCCATCACAAGCCATCACTTCTCGTTCATCAGCAGCTGTTAGCTGTGACTGGAGGTGCTGAGAGAAATCGGCATAATATTTGTGTGCTGTGTGCAGAACCAGATCTTCTACAAACGAGAGCTGTATAGAGTTAAGGCCGTGACCCTGCAGAAATTATGCTCCTGTCTCGCCACCCTCACACTTGGATTTTGAGACGAGGGCAAGGGGTCTGGGTTGGCTTAATAGTGACAACTCTCATGCTGATGATTCTGAGGTGATACATGTGATACGCACCATCTGCCAAGGGGTCAGTCTGCCCTGACAGGGCCTGTTTGAAACATGAACGTGTGTCTGCATGTGTCAGACCGAGCGCTTGCATCCCTCAGGCTAATTTGGGACTGATGGAAGACAGACATATTCTCTTCTGCCATTTCTTCTCTATGCAGCTCAGACAATAATATATGTTGTTGTGTTGTTATTTTTGTCTTCAGCAGAGATGATTTTCTACATGTCACTGAATGTGTTCAAGGGATAATTCACCAAAGAATGAAAATTCTGTCATCATTTACTCACCCTCATAGTGCCAAACATGACTTTCTTTTATATGATATTTTGAAGAAACTCAGTGTTTCATTCAGTGTTGTTTTGTACCCCATTGTATGGAAGGTTGTTTCTGCCATGATATAAAAAGGTAACTTTTATCTCACAATTTGGTCTTTCTTTCTCGCAGTTGTGAGAAAAAAGTTTGAATTGAGAGATATAAACGTAGAATTCTGTCTTTTTGTTTCTGCCACGGAATAAAAAAAAGATCATTGCGACTTTATAATCTCACAATTCTGATTTTATATCTCACAATTCAAAAAAAGTAAAAAAGTATAATTTAAGAGATATAAACTGCAGAAAATAGCAGACAAAAACGTCAGAATTGTGAGATAAAGAGT